ATCCTGGAGGTCATGCCCACAAACTGCCTCGGGCTTCTACTTAAGCTCCTTAATGGCCATTATCCAGAAACACACAGAGAAGTCTCCAAACCAAGCGGCTTGCTGCAGAGATTTCTCCAGACCCTAGTTGTCTAAAATTTTAGAATTCCAGGAGCATGTGGCCACTCTGGTGGCCGTGCAGCATCTTGTGCTGTTGATGACAAGCAATACAAAGAAGAGTATGGGGGAAATTGTCTGCCATTGAGACAGGGGAGGGGAGGGATGGGGGGATACTGGGAATCTGGTGGTGGAAGATGTGCACTGGTGGAAGGTTGGGTGACCAATCATTGTATGATTGAAACTCAAACAGGAAAGCTTTGTAACTGTATCTCACAATGATTAAAATAATAACAATAGCAATAATAATAGCACTGTAGCACTGTAGCACTCACATCCCGTTGTTCATCGATTTGCTCAAGTGGGAACCAGTAAGGTCTCACAACAAATTGTGAGACTTGTTACTGTTTTTGGCATATCCAATATGTCACAGGGAGCTTGCCAGGCTTTGCCATGCAGGCGAAATACTCTCGGTAGCTTGCTGGGCTCTCTGAGAGGGACAGGGGAATCGAACTTGGGTCGGCTGTGTCCAAGGCAAAAGCCTTACCCTCTGTGGTATTGCTCCAGCCAACAATAATAATAAAATAAAAATATAAGTAACATGGCTCCTGATGAGCTGCAAGAGATTTGGGCATTGTCTATACTAGTGTTAGCAAAGTAGGTGATAATGCCTCCTACAGATGATCCAGATGGGGTGGGTACTCAAGGGAAATCGAAGGCATTTTCTATTTGTTTAAAGAAGTTAAATTTCCAATGAAGTGCTGAGTAATATTTTTTTTTCCTGAAAAGCAAGTAAGCCAAATAAGTTTGGGACACCTTATCTGAATAATAGGCAAAGAATCAGCTCAATGGAAAATAATGTTAAGCAAGCTGATTTTTCACGTTGTAGTATATTTCTTTGGTATTATAAAAGCACTAAGTTTTAGTTAAAAATCATTGAGGTAAAATTTGACATTCCTCTGAAAAAATATAGATACCTTTTCAGATAATTCAACTTTATCACAGTATTTCATGTTAATTACTTTGTTGATTATATACATTGACCAAAAATAGTAGATATGATTTATTTAATCATGTGCACATGTATATTTTGTGTTCTTTTAGCCCTTATATTATCATTCCCTGAAACATCTGTCTATACCCATGTCCTATAGGAGTTTCTAGCTGATAAGATGATGATACTGTTTTCTTGACTCTTGACTACATCTTTTATTCTCTCATTTAAGTCACTCAAATCAGTTAACTACTTCCAATTTATGAGTATCCAAACTATTAACAGTTTATAGGTGGTTGTAAGAAATTCTTATTTAACTCAAACCACATATAAACTCTATACACCATTGTTTATTTATATAATACATAAATATGCATATATAGTGTCCATAATTATTGATGCTCTTATTTTACATATGGCAGATAGATTAGCATCAAACACAGTAACACAAGTCTCACAATGGAGACATTACTGGGCCCGCTCGAGAAAATCGATGAACAACGGGAGGACAGTGACAGACAGTGATTTTTTTTGTAGTGCTTGGAATCAAATCCAAGGCCTCTCACAAAGCAAGGCAAGGCTCCACCATTGAACTACATCCCTGACACTTAAAATTATGTTTAAGGGGGTTGAAAGATAGTACAGGAGGTTTAGGAACTTGCCTTGCATGCAGCAACCGGATCCCCAGTGCTGAATGTGATCCCTGAGCACCACAAGGAATAACCCATGAGCACAGAACTAGGAGTAAGCACTGAACATCACCAGGTGTGGCATCAAAACCAATATGTTTCAAAGTATATTTTAAAAGGCAAGAAACTGAGCTGGAGAGAGTTCAATGGAGCACAAAACCAGGAGTATTGTTCTGCTGTACCCCCAATAGAAGTAAATAATCAAAAAGTAAATACCAGAAATTGATTTTCCTTGATTAAGATAGCCTAAATTAGAAAGTACTATAAATGTGCTTAGCCATATTAAATATACCTCGCTATATGAAGAAACTCTGACACAAAGTGCTAGTGATTATTGAGCCACTGAATGTAATGAATTTCTGAAATACATGTTACAGTCATCAAACCTAAATATATCTTGAGTCAAAGCATATCCTGCCATGAGTTTGCAACTACAGAGGAAAGTGCTCCTGATTTATTGCTGTTCACATTGACTTTTACCTCTTGTGCAGAAACCTCCCAGAGAGATTACCAAGTCATTAGCGTCTACTACATGTGAAAGCTCCTAGTTGAACTCCAACAGTCTGTGTAAAATTCCAGATTATATATGAATCACTATTGCAACCTTCACCCAAGAATTCATCTAGTGGTACTGTTTTATGAGAAGGATTGAAGGAAGCAACATCTTTAGGGATGACTGGTCATAAAATACAATTGATATTTCCAAAATAATAATTTTGGAAATTTAATAAGATAGCATATAATCCTGGTACATAAAATAGTAACAATTATAATAAGATGTTGGAATTTCATTGCTTTCTTTGACACATATTAGGGAAAATCACTAAAATATTTTAAAATGAAATTCACAAAATTAACTACTTCTAATTATTACTGATTTCATAAAAACTCTGAACTGTGAAGTATTTAAAATTATAAAGTAAAAAAAAATTAAATTTAAGATACTATTACTATTATTTTGCTTTATATATTGCATGCTTAAATCTTCATTGGCCACTTAAACATACTTGTGCCTTTGGCTTACCATTTATCTTATTGGATTTCATTTTTAATTTTGTATTAAAATATTATCTATATTATAACTGTTTTACCCTACTGCCAATTTACTTATTAGATTGCTTTGATCGGTCAATCTATTTCTTCTAGGGAATCAATATTTGATTTTTTTAATTAAGATTTTTTAGGGAAGTCTCTACAAGAATAACACTTGTTTTTGCCATAAAATTTCTATAAATTTATGAAAATAATGTTTGATAATATTCGATTTTAAAATAAAAATGTCTGATTTTTAAAATTTTTCAAAGCAGCAAAACTTCAAAATTTTCAGCTTTCACTTGAAACTTGATTTCTTTTTTTTTCTACCTTTTTCTGATTTACTTCCCTTTTATTTTTCCTGTCCCCTCTCCATTTTCAGTAATTTATCTTTTGCCTTCTCCATGTCCCATCTCTATCAAAAACAATTTATCTTCTCTTTGGGTTATGGGATGGTTGATAAGCTACTGACTTTTTTTTTAATGATGCCTGATATCAAACTCAAGACGTATTACATGCAAGGCACTCATACTATATTCAATCATATATCCAGACATCTGATATTCTCATATTTTTCTTTTCTAAACAAAGGATACCCAAGTATTCTTTGTTAGTACTTTTACAATCATTAAAAAAAATGCCCACTTGATGTTCATGTGAATACGAAGTATATGCAGCTGTAGCATGAGGTTGACATATGATGTGAGCCACTAAGATGTTGTGGAGGTCAAAGCCTATAAACTTAACAATAACAAAGTAATTTTTTTTGTTTGTTTTCTTTTGGGGTCACACCTGGCGATGCACAGGGGTTACTCCTGGCTCTGCACTCAGGAATTACTTCTGGCCGTGCTCAGGGGACCATATGGGAAGCTGGGAACCGAACACTGGTTGACTGAGTGCAAGGCAGACTACCCGCTGTACTATCACTCCAGCCCAAAGTAAGTAATTTTTAACATGGAACAGAAATGAAGTCAGTTAATTGAAAAGATATGTATCTTGTATTTGCTTAATTTATAACAATGAAAATAATAGTACTTCACTTGTAGGTCTTTCAGTATCATCTTTCTATTATCTATATCTTCTCTCAGTAGCTAAATATAAATGAATAGAGAACAGATTCTATGTAAGAAACTCCTATATAGTCTTCAAAACATTTACATACTCATACATCAAACAAGTGAGTTTGACTGAAACATACAAATCAGAATGAAATTGGTTACTACCATGAAAAACATTGATTAAAACTAAGGAGTTCAAACAATACAAGTGAATATAAATGCATACACATACCACACACATATATATGCACATATATGTATCTCCAAAGTAAGGAAAAATTCTGTAAATATCAGACAGGAGATCTTTACAAAAGGAAATTTATATTAAAACATGGAAAGAAAATTCATATCTTAATATGTAATTGTTAAAGCCATGAGTATTTTCATTATTTTTGGTAACCTAGGTTTCTAGGAATTGATTTTAATGAATAAGCAACCTGTGAGTAGCTATACAATCAATATTTATAGTGAGATATTGACTTACGTGTACTTGGGTAAGTCATATCAGCTAACCTGTGCTCTGTGTCTCTGAAGTGCCAATACCCTCTGCCTTCTCATCCACCTCCTCTGCAAAGATGCTCTGCAAATACATGAGGTAATGTTTGGGAAATGTTTGCTGCTTGGGAAAGAAACCCACTGCAGACGCCTCAAATATTATTACTATTTTCTGGTAAGCCTGATGTATTATTGCTCTGGTTTTAACTGGAAACTATACTATTTGATTCACCGAGTTCTAAGCAAAATCTGGGTCAACATAAGAGGATGATTAAATTTCATTTTAATTCTGATACTCTGTTCGGATCCTTTGCACGTGTAAGAGAGGAACTGTAGGAAATAAACAAAGCACATAAATCAAGCTTGGAAAGAAAAATCCCTATCCCAAAGGTATACAGATATAGGTATATTTATATATATCTATATCCATATCAATTTTTTTCAATGAAGAACGTGAACACTGTATTTCCCTGGAGGAATATTTTCGGTCCAGGAAGGAGGAAAGTGCATGCAGTGTGAGTGTGTGCGAGCGGGTGTGCATGCGTGTGTGTGTGTGTGTGTGTGTGTGTGTGTGTGTGTGTGTGCTCTGTGCGTGCGCGCCCGCGGAGAGAGGGGCGGGGGAGGCGGATGAGGAGGATGAGATCATAGTTTCAGGATCCTCAGGAAACCCTGGTACTGGCAGCAGCCAGCCTCTGCTGTGCCCACATGACCCACAACTCTGGCAGCGGACCCGGCACTTCCAACATTATTAAATAATAAGAAAGCGGCTCCTACTCCGAGCCCAAACCTCCCTACAGACCCATGGACACCTTCTAAGAGTTTGGCGAGTCGGAGACGGGGGCGTCGGTCCATTGCAAGGTGCGTGTCCGGCATCTGCTTCCTGGAGAGCTCCGGAGTGGGGGAGGGCGCGGGGCCGGAGCGGCGGGGGGGTGGGGGGGGGGGGTCCCGGCGGCGGCGGCGGCGGGAGAGGGAAGTGGGCGCCGGCGGGGCTCGGGCGCGCGGGGCCCCGGGCGCGAGGCGGGAGGAGCGGCGGACGCGCGGCCCGGGATGCGCAGGGACCGCAGCCGCCCGCGGCGCCGGGGCGGCCGGGGCCGGGGCAGCGCCCCCGGGGGAGCGCGGAGGGGCGGCGGGCCGGGCGGCGCGCGCCGGGCGCGGGGGTTCCCACCTGTGCGCGGGCGCCGGCCGGCTGAGCGCGGAGCCTGTGCCCGGCACTGCAGCCCCGACTGCGGCGGGCGGCGCCTGGGGCCCGCGGGGCGGCGGTGGCGGCTGCTGCAGGAGGGCCGGCCCGGGGCGCGGGGCCGCGCAGGTAATTCGCCGCGGCTCCCTCTGCAGCCTCCGCGCCGCTGCCCGGCCGGCCGCCACTCCACCCACCCAACCCTCAGCCCCCCACCCCTCCTCTCGGGCGTCGTGACGGTGGGTTGTTTTTGTGGTCGTCGTGGCCTTCTGGGCCCCGTCCTCGTGGACGGCAGCGTGGGAGGCGGCGTGGCCGGCTCCCCTAGGGATGACACTCACGTTGGGGAGCTGCCTGGGGGCTCCTGAGCGGGGAATCCGCCGTGGGTTCCCCGCCCGCTAGCGGCGTCTGCGCGTGTTGCCACGCTCTGCGGTGCCCCCGCCGAGGGCTGGGTGGGAGTGGGCGGCAGGCACGGGCGGGCAGGGGGCGGGGGCGGGGGCGGCGAGGAGTTCAGGGGTGGGGGTGGTGAGTATCATCACCTCCCGTATAGAGCCTGTTGCCCACTTGGTACTTTTCCTCTGGACTGGACTGGACGTTAGTTCCAGTACCCGGAGTGGCTGGATGGGGGGTGTCGGGGGTCTCCGTTTAAAAGATCGAGGCCAAGGAGAAAAGAGGTGGGGACTGATACCTGCTCTAGTGGTTCTGGGACTTGGTGGGAAAACTTTCTTCCTTCCTTGAAAGGGGTGAGATAAGTGTGGAACTTGGTCAGGTCTGGAGGGGTAGGGTAATTGGATGTACACTTGGGATGGAGCATAACACTGTCCTCTTCATTCAAACTCTTACGAAATGGTCGTTTGAGTTGCTGTTTACCATCCAGTTATCCTGTTACTGTGATGATCGTTTGATGTTTAAATGTATTTATTTGAGCACAACGATCACCTAGATTGTTGAAGTATAGTTTGTTTCTTTTACAAGGAAAATAAAATGCTTATTCCAAAGATGAAAACTTTAGTGGGGTCTGGATGGGGGCATATAGATCTCTTAACATGTTCCATACACAGTTTCATCTGCTTCAGCTTTGTTCGTTCAATTCTTACACGACTGTAAAGGGTAGCTGATAATATTATCCACCTTTTACAGCTGAGGAAATCCAAGCACAGATAAGTGAAATAATTTACTCAAGGTCATATGACTATTAAATGTTAGAATACACTTGGGCTTTTAACCAACTCCGATTTATAAATGGATAGACAGATAGATAATAGACAATAGATGCATAAAAATAGAACCCATTGACACTGCAGTCTCCTATATTTACTATATGGACCACATCTTCCTACCAAGATATATCCTCTTAACTGCATTCCATATTGTTCTCTATTTTTAATGCTATGATTATGGTAAATATTTTTGGAGTGGTTTCTTTTGCCAAATTACACAATTTCCACACAGCTATATTTTTAGTAGTTGACTATCAGCACAATAAATAAATTATAAAGTAGGTGGCTAAATATATGTATTTGCATTTAATTTTAAACTTCCTAGGAATTCATCATGTTCTTGTTGAAAGTATGAACATTATTTTCTTCAGGACACCAACTTGCGAATTTTCTTTTAGAGAATTTAATCAGCTTACTCCAGTCATTCTAACAAGAGGTCTGGCAGATTTTTTTTTTTTTTTTTGAAAATTCTCTTTTAACTCTCAGTGATTCTGAGCGGGCTCGATTTTGGAGGCGGACCTCTCATGTCTTGCCTGTTTGTCAGTGGCGTGTATATTATACAAAGTTGTATAGCAGTGAGGCAATGAGGATAAATCCAGGTTTTTTTTTTTTCAGTCAAAATATTAAAAATAAAAAAAAAATCTCCATTTGTTACCAGAGAGTTAATACAACTGATAAGGCACTTGCTTTGAGGGCAGCCTACCGTGGTTCAATATTGAGCATCACATACGATTTCCAGACACCACCTGGAGTGATTCCTGAAAACAGCTGGGTGTGGCCCAGCTCCACGCACTCACCTCCTTTGGGAAAATATCTGCCTATTTTAAATCAACCTTGATGCATAGAAGGGTCTCAGCAGGTTAAACTCTAACTGCTTCTCATTTGATCTTCTCATGGTGCTCCTCTAATGTTCATTTTATTGAACATATGTCTCTTAAGTCTTCATCTATTTTTAAAAAGTAAATGCAATTACATCTTCATATTACATGTTTTATAATTATTTTGACACTCATGGATTTTTTAATGCCATTTTAATTGCATTCAATATACATATTTAAAATGAACATTCATTCAACACTGGAAGTGAAAAGATTGGAATCCAGCTGAACTACATGGAAACATGGCCTTGGATGTGAAAAACAATTATCTAACTCTTAAATAGTTCACCATTTTTCTATATCCACAAATTATGACATGGGTATTTAGGGGTGCCTAGGGGTGCCATAATTTATTGCTATGGTCTGAGTAATTGAATTCCATCAGGCGCAACAGTGTTAGATGTTGAAGTTGACTGAATTTTTTCAATCTGCTTGTATAAAATATTGACAGTTATTAAGGCATAATAATCTGACACATACATATATTCTTTCTTAGCAGATTCAGCTGTTCCAGTTTTGTAGCTTCTGTTGTTTAAAGATATCTTTCACTTGCTATTTTTATCCCACCTGGTAGATTTGACAGGACATTTTCTTCTCCACACCCTCTTTTCTAGTCCTGGGAAAATTTCTCAGGCATTGCTTCTTGGGAGTGCCTCTGTTTCAGGAGAAGCATGAGAACCAGTGATGAGCAGAAAGATGACCGACTCTGCCTGCAAAAAGGGGTCAATGATTGTCTACTCGTTCGTGAATTATTTTTTGAATCAGAGACTTCTGTCTTTATGGAATCTCCACACTAATCCAATCCTGAGCAGGTGTAATATTCCCTTTTCATAATCCACCAAATGGTCATGGGAAGAAGACTTGTAAAACTCCTGTCAGTTCTCTTTAATAGACTATGTATACTTTTGCCTGGTTATTATCCTATTTGAGAGTTAATTTTAGTGAAGTAATAGTCACTTTCTTTATCTTACAACTTTGGGAACTGAAATGATAGTACAAGCAAGTAAGATGAAAAGCCCTTTCCTCCTGTGATCCAGCTGGTTTGGTAACCAACTTTGCATTTGGTTCCTTGAGCACAGGCCCACCAAGAGTGATCCTTGAGCACAGAGCCAGGAATAAGTCCTGACCACAGCTTGCTGTGGTCCAAAAACAAAGAGAAAAGAGAGAGAAATAGAGAGAGGCTGCCTTACAGCATTTTTCAAGTTTTAAAAAGTCTTATGTGTTTTTTGTTGTTGTTGTAGTAACATAAAGACTCAAAATACAGATAAAATAAATCTATTATACAGCTACTAAGACTCTCTGAAACCTAGTCTCTTAAGCCATGGGCTGAAATTTCAAATGAATAACTTTTTATAAATGTCTTAAAGTCAATTCCATATGATTTATTATCTGTAAATGTCTGATATGTTTATCTTTTATATATACCTGTATGGGCTGGAGCGATAGCACAGCGGGTAGGGCCTTTGCCTTGCACGTGACTGACCCAGCTGACCTGGGTTCGATTTCTCCAAAGCTATTGGAGAGCCCAGCAAGCTACCGATTGTATCTCGCTCGCATGGCAAAGCCTGGCAAGCTACCCGTGACGTATTCGATATACCAAACACAGTAACAACAAGTCTCACAATGGAGACGTTACTGGGCCCACTCGAGCAAATTGATGAACAACGGGAGGATAGTACTACAGTACAGTGCTATATACCTGTATACCTGGATTGAGAAAAAGATTCTCAGGAAATGAGTTGAAAATGGAAAAAGTTTAAGATACTTCAGTGCTCTAGAATAGGCACCAGAGTAAGGGATATGATAATAAATGTTGAATATACTGGGGAAGGGGTATGAAAAGTGTAAAGAAATATATTGATAGCTAAATTTATTGAATAGATATTATGCTTTTGAAATAATTCTATGTTCTCTATAAGAACTAACAATGTATTTGTAACCATAGTCTTATGAAGTTTGTCTTCTTCATTCTCTAATTGTTTTCTTTCATTTTTTGTGATTACCCCGCTATGCTCAGGACTTATTCCTCATTCTGTGTTCAGCACTCCTGACAGGGCTCAAGGGTCATATATGGTTCCAGAAATCAAACCTGGGTCAACCCCATACAAGGCAAGTGACCTATATGTTGTACCATCTCTCTGGCCCCTTAATTCCCTATTTTATAGAGTAGATAATCAGGAGCCCTGAACTCAAATATTCTGATTCCATAATCCGTAATGTTCAAAGGCTTACTGGTGAATTAAATCCCATCATTGACAAAAATCATAAAGCTTCCTAATTTAGTATTTTACTTTTTCAACAAATAAAAATAGTTAAAAAGTTCTGACCATTGACCAGTTCACCTGGCCCCTGTTTTCTCTGGACTTGGATATTAGTCTCATACTAATTTTTTAATACTCCACAAATGAATGTAATCGTTCTATATCTGTCCCTCTTTTTCTGACTCATTTCACTCAGGATGATACTCTCCCTATCTATTCATTTATAGGTAAATTTCATGATTTCATTTTTCCTAACAACTGTGTAGTATTCCATTGTGTAGGTATACCATAGTTTCTTTATCCAGTCATCTGTTCTCAGACACTCAAA